AATCAACTGTACTGCAGATCGACATCCACTTACCCGCTTTTTTAATATTTGTTTTGAGGCAGTAAAAATGATTTGATGTTTTACATCAGCATCTTTTCTGATACTTGGTACGTCCTATTTGTTACCTACTTTGTGGGGTCAAGAGTAAAAAGTATTACAATTTTTAAAATGCCATTGAGTACAGTCGAATGTATAATATACTTAAAAGTGCCAAGTTATATCTATGGTTATCTATTAATTATTATATTAAAATATTTACTTGCCCTAAAATACCCAACAAAAAAAATTATTACAATACTTTATTGATATATTTGATGCGTGACAAAAACATTGCTAGACGCTAGTAGGTAGTTATTACTTTGCATGGGCCCTCACAGGGGCATGTTCAGTGGAGCCCATTATTCTGTTGAAATAAATATAAGTATACAAATACACTCTAATTACAGCGGTTCCCAAACTTTTTTCGCTCACGGCGCCCTTTTTGAACTAAACTTTTCTCAAGGCGCCCTTCCCAAGACATAGCATGACTAATCATAAAAAATGAATAAAAAACAAATAAAAACCAGACCATTTTTTAATAATAATACAAGAATATTTATTTAATTTTAGTTATATACTTTTTACACATTTTAATTATTTTTGAAGATTTACATTTATATTTAGAGGTCGAAATAGATAGGTATAAAATTAATGTGATGGATGTGCTTGCATATCACTGCACATTTTTTCAAATCTTGGAATTAAACAAGACACAGCTACTCTCATTTCTTTTTCAACATTGATTTTGGTTCGATACTTGCTTTTTATTACAGCAACCGCCGAAAACCCAGCTTCACACAAATATGATGTCGAAAACGGAATTAAAATACGTTGAGCCTTATCACTTAAAAGAGGATATTCATCTTTTATAGAAATCCAAAATTTGGTTAAATCCATACTGCTAAATTTAGTCTTCAAACTATTGTCGCAAGACAACTCGATAAGACTCTCTTCTTCGGTAGAAGTAAACTCAGATGGAGCAGTGGAGTTGAATGGATCTTGAATCCAAGAAAATTTATCTATATTTTCATTTTGAAAGTATTTTTCAAACCAAATGACGAGTTGTGATAGGTGATCTACAAAAATAGACTTCATATCTTGAGTGATTTCAACTCCGTTAGAGGTCAAAAACTGCTGCAAAGTTAAAAAAGAATCCTTACTCGTGCCTTCATTCATTTTTCTTCTCCATAATTTGAGTTTTTTAATAAAAGCTGAAATTTTTTCCATTGACTTCAATGTTATCGAGTTAAAATTTATTTTTAGACTAGGTAAATTTCTACGGCAACGCGGCGCCCCTAAAAAGACATCGCGGCGCACCAGGGCGCCGCGGCGCACAGTTTGGGAACCGCTATAGTGGTATAGTGTTCCTAGCTCTGCAGCTGTATCCGCTCGCCCGTTGTGTTTTGCAGTCTCCGCCGCCGTCGCCCTTGCGAGTCGCCTTCGTGCACACTGCCATCGTCGAGTGGTACCGTCGGGGCGGTATCGTTGCCCGCGCCGGTACAGCTAGCCACCGCCGTCGTCGTCGTCCATCGGCTCCTGGTGTGACCGAAGCGGTCGGGCCCTCGCCGAGTCGTCTTGATGGTCTCGCGTGTCGGCAACCGCGAGCTCGCGACGCTGGCGACTGCGATCTCGTCTTTCTGCGGGTGGCCGGAAAACGTATAGGGTGACTTACCGCCGGGCACCGTAAAGTGCTCTTTCACGTAACACTCCCCCGTCGTCGCCGTCTTGTCATGGTGTCTTCATCTGATGGGGAGGGGGTTCGCTATGCCGCTGGCTTCACTTCCTCCGGAAACAACCGCAGAGCAGTACGCGCTTCGCGCCTCTCCAAGTGGCGGCGCACAACCGCCTTATAATCCTACCACGTTGGACTGCACTGATGTTTTCTCCCTCAGATGGAATAATGTCTGCCTCTTGTTGTCCTGGTTCTTGCTGCAAGTCTTCAGCCTGCTGAAGTTCTTGTCCCTGCTCGGATGGTCCGAGCTTCTCCGAGGGCGTCGGGTCTACAGCTGCAGCGTCTCCGCTGCCCACCTCGACATTGCATTCGGCCGTTTCATTTTCAATAAACAACCAAATTATATCGCCTAGTATATTATCGTCTTCGTCTTCGTCGTCCTCTAGTTTTTGTTCTATGTCTTTAATTTCAAGCGTTATTAGTTCTTCCTCTACGCGTTCGACTAACATTATGGCGATTTCTCGAGCAAAGTCGTCAATAGTGGCCATTTTAATTTTTGGTTGTTTCAGGTCAGACGTTTAATTGCAAGTGAACTCAAGTTCAATTCAAAATCAGTTTACTCGAAAAATTCAAACATTTCCCAGACAACGGGTACACAACGACGCGAGTATGGTCGTTGCGAAGTCGTTTTTTCTCGTTTTTTCTAATCAACTATCGTTAAGATTTCCGGCCCGTTTATTTTTCAAAGAACATTATCAATGATATATAAGGATTGTTATAATATATTAAACTATAATATTTGAACAAGGATTTGTGTTTCGATTCGTATTATACACTGCAGACCTGTAGTGCTTATTTTATACTTCCAGGTTAAGGGCCGTTCTTACAATGTCCGGTTAAAGTTAACCGACACTTAACCGGAAGAAATCTGCCGGTAATAAAATCTGTTATCAGTCGGTTAGCGTTAACCGACACTTTACCGGACATTGTAAGAACGGCCCTTAGTCTTTTAGATTGTTAGTAAAACAATGGGGATGTATTGACTTTACAATGACGTGTTTTTTTGTGTATGCGTAGGTACAAGTTTTATTTTAAAAAAATGATTCAATCTTCAATTCTAAGGAACAAGGGTGATTTCTGATACGAAATTATATTTAGTTGGAGCCCATTGAGAGATCAATATTGAAATTTATTTTTACCTACCTGTCATCGTTTATCTATTATCTGCAGTTAGAACTTGGAATACTTCAATAATTCCATGACATATTTATTCTTCATATTTAAATATTATATTTTATAAACCAGATGAATTTATTAGATTTTAAGTTTCCTGTTAAATTTGTTTCAGTGACTAACAATATAATACAATTAGGTAGTCCTAAAAGTATTGTGACGAACATCTATTGCAATATACTAACAGACAATAATAATTAAAGACGCAGCACTCGGACCAGACACAGGCACCACCACATAAATTCTTACATTCTTACACAAAATTAAACTGTATACAGTTATATTATATAATAAAATTCAAAACAAAATTGTAATTTTAAATTGTAACTAACGGCCATTGTAGCTGCAGATGTTAATTAAGAACAATAAAAATAATAATAATAATAATAATTACGAATTGGCAATGCAACTTTTATAATATATTGGCAATGCAAGATAAATTAAGGCTGGACTTAAAATATCACATTATGATGTACCTATATACTATAGTAATTTTTAAATTATATATAATGTAAATTTTTCGATACTTTGGCATCATATATATTAATTAGATAATCTATTCGCGATTGAAAGGAAATATAGGTAGCGCACTAGTCGATACTAATGATAAGGCTAACGGGGAACATGGTCGCCCGGTGGCCGAGGCCCGTGCTGTTTAGTCTACTTAGTACTTACTACTTTCTAGTTTCTACTTAGTTTACTTTGTCTACTTTCTAGTTTCTACTGCAAGCAGTAGTTGACGCTCACGCTAAGTTTATTGTAATAGAAGTTGGAGATTATGGTCGGTCTAGTGATAATGGGATTTTCAAAGAATCCTTATTTGGTAGACAATTAATTCAAAATAAATTAGATTTGCCAGCGCCCAGCACCCAAAAAAAATTGATCAAAATATTAATGAAGATTTCCCTTTTGTATTTGTTGACGATGAGGCTTACCTACTTTTACCTACTTTGATGAGACATTTCCCTCGTAGAAATTTAACAAACGAAAAACGTTTATGGTATATACAACTATCGACAATCCCGTGTGAGAAAAATAGTCGCATGTGCATTTGGAATTATGGTAAAAAGGTTTAACGTATTAGAAAATAAAATGCTAAACAGAACTGAAAAAACTGCAAAAATAACTCAGGCGATTTGTGTACTCCATAATTTAATTGTGACTAGAGTAGCTAACTTCCTTTGTACAACTCTTAATAAAATAGTTTTAAAAATAAAAAAATATACAGTGTATAGAAAATGAAAATATAAACATTCAGTTAAATTTTTATGTATATACAGTTTTTGGTTTTTTTTTTTTTTTTTAATTACAACAAAATAAATGTAATTAATTGTATTAATTTCCTACCTGTGGAACTGTGGTTAACACTGTGGAATAGAACAAGCCTTATGGGTATTATTAATTAGTATTTTTGGACTACTATTAAGGTGATAATTATGATCATACATCATACAACTAATAATATAATATTCATATAATATTACAATAAATTACAATAAATTATTTATTAATTCGTATTTCGTGTGTGGTACTGTAGACCAGTACATGTACTATACACATCTTCCCCGTTGTAATAGTTCTGATGACTTCCACAAGGTAGCGCCTGTTCCGCTTTCAATCGCGAATTGAGATTTGAGAGTAATGTTGCCGGTTATCTGGCTTAAGTTTTTAGTTATTTTTCGCCCGGTGCCAATGCAATTTTTGTACACAAAAATACGCTCTCCGAATCTTTTTATGTTTATTATATTATTAGTTATTACACATTAGTTATTAATATGTGTATTTGTGTGTTAAATTATTATGCATAAGATCTTAAACCGTGTCCAATATTCATGAATTTTTATTCTTTTATCAATATTTAGGTTAGTCGGCAAATTTTCTTCACAGATAAATGATAATGGACTATTATTATTTTTTATTATCTCTATCCGTGATTTTCCTAAAATCGTGTTTGTCGTTTGAGACTTGAGAGTTTTATTTTTATTGCTCTAACTCGGTTTGATTATTTTGTCTTTTCATTTTTTCATTTTTTGTTTGATGCATTTATAATATTATAATGAAACGCTTCAGTAGCTGTTTGTATAAAAAATACAGTGGTTCATTGTGTTGTGAGTACAAATACTTTTTTACAATATATCATACTTCACTATTAAAAATATATTGTGTCTATTTTAGCTATAAAATATGTTTCCACATCTGCCAATATTCATCCTAAAACTGAAATTGTAGCCTATCAAAATAATTTGTTCGACAACGAACAAAAACGGCAAAGAGAAGCCGTTGGTCGTATTGAAAAGATTACAGTAAAATACATTGGAGTGCCTGAAAATGTCACATTGTCCATGAACAAGGGTATTTCGACCCCTTTTCATTGTGCTCAACGTATGTGAAATTGTTATTATTACTTAATTGAATATTTTTAATAATTATCTGTTTAATTGTAGACATATCTGAAATGTTGGTTAAAAGAAGTGGATTGGCCTTAATCGATGACACACATTTATGGGACATGCATAGGCCACTAGAATCAGACTGTGAACTGACTTTCATGCATGCACAATATCTGCCAGACCCATATCATTTCAACAGAGCGTATTGGCGCAGTTGTTCGCTTATACTAGGAGCCGTAATTTCTAAAGCTTTTAAAACTGACATTCAACCAACTTTACACAGTTTTCCTTCACCTAATGGTATATTATTCATAATAAATTTTTATTAGATTTCTTTTTCTTAGGTTTTGATGTTTGAACGTTTTCAGCCATTTACTATTCTCCGTCTTGTATACTTTCACTCATACATTTATATTTCCATAGTTAGTTTCTACTTCCTCGTACTCTCCAGTCTACTAAAATCTATTCTCATGATATACAGCTACCTGTATCACTATGTCCTTTGAATATGATCATCAAATAATGATAAATATTGGTTACTACTAGTATAGAACTAGTTATAACCAATAGAGCCTTTCATCTCTTTAAACTCTTACACAAACTTTATGCGTATTAACAAAAAAAAAATAATTGTTGAAAAGGGGATTAGCCATAAAGGGTGACGGTATGTCCTTCTAGGTATAAGACATATTATATACTTATCTATATTATTAAAAAAAAATTGACCTATAATGAATTCCAAATTAATCATATCACAATATCCATTAGGTACATATAAGGCGTTATACACCAAAAACAAACCCTGATACTATCATAGATGTATAGTAGTATACTCTAGAAGTTTCAAGTACCCACGAATAATATTATACAATCACAACAAAATAACTAAAATACTTATTCTAGGTTTTTTATTATGTAATTTCGTCCAAATTTGAATTTAAAATGTCTGTAAAAAATAACTGTGTTCATATATTTTTTAGATATTTTAGTTACAGTATGAACTATTTATGAGAAACTTTGTTTTAAATTTGCAATCCTTAGCTATAAAAACTGAACATTTTATAATTTATTAATTACAATGATTGATAATTTTCGAGATTTTGATAAATTTTGTCAAAATTCGATCTTTAAATGCTTATAAAAAAAATTGTGCTCATGTATTTTTAATATTTTTCAATTGCTATTGTAACAATATATCAGGAGCCTTGTATTAAATTTTTACACTTTTTGGCCCAACAGATAAAACTTTATTGATATTTATAGAAAAAGAAACTAAAAAAATTGAAAACTGAAAATGTCCGTAAACAGTTCAAAAAGAGTCAAAATATTTTCAAAATTGTACAGTGTATAAGAAATGCTAATATGAACATTCAGTGAAATTTTCATGTATCTACAGTTATTCGTTTTTGAATTACAACAAAATAAGGAAATCGCTACATGAGAAATCGAGTGAACATCCAATGTTGTAAAAATTTGATTTTCAAACGCTCTTAAGAATTTAATTTGACTTTCCGGTAGAGATTTTTTTATTGATAAAGGTAGACAAACTTATGAGCAGTGCTTGAATTGGAAAAAAAATAGAAGGGGGATGCAAAAGTATAAAAGATATGTGCGTCCCCGAACATTTAAATGTCTTACTGTTAAGTGGTAGCATATGTCCCCCTCCCGCTACAATGACATTTTACACCATACACCAATAAACCTAACCTAACCCTGATACTATCATAGATATATAATATAGTGTACTTAAGAAGTTTCAAGTACCCACGAATAGTATTATAAGGGGTATTATACACTCACAACAAAATAACTAAAATAGGTATGCTAGGTTTTTTAATATGTAATTTCATCCCAAATTTGAACTTAAAATGACCATAAAAATAAACTGTGCTTGTGTATTTTTTAGATTTTTTGGTAACAGAATTAACTACTTACGTGGAATCTTGTTTTAAATTTTCAATCCTTAGCTATAAAAACTGAACATTTTATAATTTATTAATTACGATGATTGATAATTTTCGAGATTTTGATAAATTTAGTCAAAATGCGATCTTTAAATGCTTATAGAAAAAAATTGTGCCTATGTATTTTTAATATTTTTCAATTGCTATTGTAACAATATATCAGGAGCATTGTATTAATTTTTTACACTTTTTGGCCCAACAGATAAAACTTTATTGATATTTATAGAAAAAAAAAACTAAAAAAATTGAAAACTAAAAAGGTCCGTAAACGGCTCAAAAAGAGTCAAAATATTTTCAAAATTGTATGGTGTATAGGAAATGCTAATATAAACATTCAGTGAAATTTTCATGTATCTACAGTAATTCGTTTTTGAATTACAACAAAATAAGGAAATCGCTACATGAGAAATCGAGTGAATATCCAATGTTGTAAAAATTTGATTTTCAAACGCTCTTAAGAATTTAATTTGACTTTCCGGTAGAGATTTTTTTATTGATAAAGGTAGACAAACTTATGAGTTATGAGTAATCTTGTATTACATTTTCAAATCTTAGATTTAAAAAGAAAAATTTTTACGAATTCTTAACTCAAAATAATTTGCTGATTTGAATGATTTTTCCATATTTTGTCAATTTTTGAAATTTAAATGCTTATAAAAAAAAATTGTAACTAAGGATCTTTAATATTTTTCATCTGCCTTTGAAACAATATACTAGGAGACTTCTATTAAATTTTCAAGCTTTCGAAACCAACAAATAAAATTTTATTGATATTTTTAGAATAAAAACTAAAAAAAATGGAAAATGAAAATGTCCCTAAACAGTTCAAAACAAATCATAATATTTTAAAAAATTTATCGTGTATAGAAAATGCAAATATAAACAACCAGTGAAAATTTCATGTTTATACGTTAATTTGTTTTAGAGTTACACCAAAACCCAAAATCGATTTTTTGGAAAACAGATTTTGCTTAAAAAATTCCCATTATTCCTTAATTTTTATGTGTTTAATCCCGGCGCTTGTGAAAACTATTGGGAATTTTAAAATTTGATTTCCTGAATGCACCAACTAGAGTCACTTTCCAATCGAACAAGATACTGAAGTTGAAAATCGAAGCATTATTTCGACTACTTATCGTGTAACCAGACACAAAAAAAAAAATAAAAATAAAAAAAAAACACATCATTGTAAAATCAATACATTCATCGTTCCACTCAGAATCTAAAAATTTAAAAAAAATGTATCATCAATAATATATAAGTAGAAGAAAATATATAAAAATATAATATATTCCCTGGTTAAACCCTTGTGGAAGGAAGGGCTTTCCACCATAAATGTGCCATTGGTCATCTTTTTTTTGTTCTTCAATACCTTCACTGTTGTATAACAGTGTTGACCTGCCCATGGCCGCTAGGCCGGGGACCCTCCGATTTTTTTAGGGTCTCGTACAAGTTTAATACAATCCATTATTGATTGACCTACTTGTAATCTACTGTACAGCAGAGCGAAATCCACTATCCGCTTTTTTTATCTGTTTGGGCGTATTTATTGATATATTTAACTGTACTCAATTTTTTTTTACATGACCTAGATGTTTACTTATTATTATAGTGTGAGCAGGGCACTTAAAATAGTACAAGTTTCAAGTAATAAATAGGATGAGGTTTTTTTGGATTAATTGTGCTAGGTACTGCAAGTTAAGTTAGGTTTTATATCTCTTCTTTAAAACAAAGGGCTCAGATTAGGCCATGAGGCCTCCGCTCACCCACCTTGCACCGTCTCCGCTGTTGGATTCATCAATCATGATTATGTTGCATACAAAAATATGTATGATTTATATTACTATACATCTCCTTATACCTATATGACGTATATATAATTAAATTTCAAACAATGATAAAGATTTTACATTTATTTTTTATTATGCATAGGTCTATAGCTTATGGAATTGTCTTCGAAGTTAAAATTCTATAGACAGTATAAATATAATTTTGGTTTTCATAATTTCGTTTCTATGTAATTAATAATTATTATTTATTATTTTGTAGTTTAAAATATTTCAATAATTTCATAGTTTATTACTTAACGAATGATTCCGCTAGTTAGGCTTTGAGTTAATATTATAGGTAGTGATTGCATACCTCTGCTCTCCCTATTTTTTTTACTTAAATTGTGCATATTATATTCAAATTCTGATTTTTAGAATTTCTAAATACTTTTGAAAATTTTTGAATACTTGAGATTTCTTAAACCGTTTAAGAATGATGTTGTTACAAACTTCTGTTTTTAAAATAGGAATCCTCTTTTTACTTTTCACAAAGTAAAAAAATTAATGTACATTCAGATACATCTACATTTACAAGAACATTATCTGCTGAATAATTTTCAGTAAAAAATGAGAGATTCACATATGAAAAATAAAAGTTTGTATAGCCACAGGATACTAATATTAGTACAAAAAATATCAGGAATTAAATATAATAATTATTGTCTTTAGGTATACCTACTTAAAAAATCTATAAATCAGAATTTGAATAAATGTATTTTTAAAGGAAAACAGGTAGTGGGCATTTTTTTCCTAAAATGTCAAGTAAATTTTGTATTTCATGATGGGGCCCCTTCAAAAAAAACTGATCCATTGGCTTTTTGTGTGCCAGGTCGACACTGTTGTATAAATAAACATATTATAATAATATATTGATCCAAAAATTTTGAATTTTCCTTCACTTATCTTTTAAAGTATTTAGGTTACTATATTTTACTGTTTACTGTTTAGTATTTATATTAAATATTTATGTTATTTGTTTAAATGTATTTGTACATAAATTATTATTTATTTATTTCATATTTTTTAACTTGGAAATTAGTGAAAAGTGGAAGCTTTGTTTATGATGTGGAGTTATTGAATTTACCAGAATGGGCTCCAACGGAAAATGAACTTCGAATTTTGTCCGCCAATATGGTTAAATTTGCAAAAAAATCTTATAAATTTGACAGACTTGCTGTTTCTGAAGAGCTTGCATTAGACATATTCCAGGAAAACAAATTTAAAAAAGAACAAGTACCAAATATTGCACAACAATCAATTGGTAAGAACTGTATAATCAATTATTTTAATCTCAGGTTCTGTAATCATATATCCTCACTTAATTACAGTAGAACTCCGAATATCCAGACTAATTAATGTCAAGGGTGGTCCGGATAAGCAAATATCCTGATGATTGACATATGACATTTTAAAAGTTATTTAGGGACATTGTAACACAACAATTCACTAGTTATAATAATATAACAATTTACAGACTAAACTGTGCGATGATTAGACAACAACTGACCACTGGGAGTATATAGTGGACTTTTGCACCCTCGAGTTAAAAATGTGCACCCCCAAAATATAAAAGACTTCTATTTATAAAAGATCTATTTTTTTTTGATTATTTTGAAGTAAATATTATCAATAAATATAAAAATGTTGTAAGTGGTTACTTCACTATTATGTTCCAACATTCCGAGCTATAACAGTATAACATAATATTATGAAATAATCTTTAGCTTAAGACCTTTTTTTTTCATCCGATTACTTGGACGTCTGTTTGATTGGTGTTCGGATAATCGGAGTTCTACTGTACTTAAAAAGTTAAATGTATAAATTGTATTTAGCCCGTTTGATGGACAGTGAGAATTAAAAAAATATTTAATAATTTAAAATCATAGAAAGCACGCCTAAATTAGTTAATGTTCTAGTAATGCTACACTCTGACCCATGAGAGAAGTAAACCATGTCTCTACCAAAATGTTTCAGAGTTGAAGCATCCATTAACCATTTTACCTATCAACAATTTTAGCATCGATGACTGTCTACATATGGTAAATGGCTTACTCCTCTCTTGAATTAAAAATATATATTAGTTTCTATGTAATACAGTTATGTATACTTCTATTCAAATGAAAACATATTGGTTGGCGACCAATTTATGTCCGACGGCGCTCATCCTCAAACAATTTCCCATTGTTAGCGTGATCACTTGTTTCTCGACGCACCTATAGAATCATTCGACATGCACAAAAGCTTTATATTCTCTTTTGAAAAAGAATATAGTTTATACGTTCTAATACCAATTTAAACAAGTTTATAATAAATAAATATTACAGGCTATAGAAATAATGACATAATATCTAACATTTTAAAATAAAATATGCTTTATTTTATAAGTGTTGCAGCCATGTTCAGCATCAATATTAAAGATATTATTTTTAATATGATGGTGTTAAGATGGGATGGCTTTTTCTCTGGATTGCCTACAGACTTGTCTTAGTAAATTACTGGGGTGTTCTGTACTCAGATATTAATCTGGGATATTAATAAATCTCAGATATTATTGGCCTGTATGGCTGTATTAAAAAATAATTATTGTTGTAGATAAAAAGGTGGTTTTGTACAGAATTGATGATCATATTGATATAAGTAGAGGACCTATGATTGGTAATACAGACTTATTGGGACGCTGCAGTATAACTGCGGTATGTTTAAGACAATTTTTTTTTAATTCTACAGTTATATTATACTTAGGATAAAAAATTTGTATTAATATACTTTTTTTTTAACTTTACATTAGGTACATCGCTTAGACACCAAAAATGGCCATTTATACAGATTTCAAGGAGTCTCTTTACCTGTAAATATTATGGTAAATATATATAATTAATTGTATTTTCTATGTACTGGTTAATATTGAATGTTTTATTTATTTAAAAATTATCTGAATAAACTAACTTTTAATTCTAGATTTTTAGTTGTATTATTCAATTGCAATTGTGCAATACATACTCTTCATGTTAAGTTCAATGTTATATTTGTTTTTATTAGAGCTCTCTGTCAGCTTTTTAAAGGGACATTATAATTTTTAAACTTTCATTTATTTTAATTATTATGTATATCATAGTTTTACTCTAAATAAATAAATATTTTACAGGGTATTATGTTTTATAACCATAAATACAATTTTATTTTTGTTTCAGTTAAACCATTTTGCTTATTCTTTGTTAGAGCAAAGGGCAAAAAAATTAGTAAGTATTTTTTTTTGGACATTAATTTTGTCATAAAATACTGATAGTTATTTGTTTCACTTTTAGAATGCAGCAAGGTGGGTAGATCAGGCTCAAAATGATACATATGTTCCACAATTTTCTCGGGAAGAAACTGCAGCATAACTAAAGATAATAACTAGTGTACCTACTTTAATCATATATTGTTCATAATAAAATTTTTACTCAAATTCATTATGTATTTATCTTTATGCTTTACAAATTTATTTTGAATAGGTATTTTAAAGTGGATCAAACTATTAACCATAAAACTATTAACCGCATGAATATCAGATGAGTGGTTCTTGAAATCATAGGCATCAAAGATTCTCATTTTCACATTTATTATTTATATATAAAGATAAATATCATTAATCAAATCGTAATGACTATTTACCATACTTAAGCGGTATGCCAGTATGCATAGTAAATTTTTGTGTCACATAAGACATGTTAAACTATGTCTTATGTGACACACACATTGACTATGCATACAAACATTTGATACATGTACTATTCTTAACTAATGTCTAATAGGAATAACTAACATAAGAATTGGAGCTGATATTTAGTCTGTGGTAGAAATAATGTTATTGATAATTTCAGTAAGTGAGTGATGTGCCCAGATCTAAACTAGAATTTATACAATCATACCACAGAATAAATCTAATACATTTATTTATTCTATGATCATACTATGTTGCTTATATAGTGATATTATATATATTATTAAAATTCAAAAAAATATAAATGATAACAATGTATTAAAATATAAAAGAACCATTTTTTTACAAATAGGAGCCAGCTGCAAATGTTAAAATATAACTCTACTATAGTCTCAACTATAGTAAAGTTGTACCAATTTATTTAATGAAACATTTATTATTTATGTATGGCTACCAATAATGTTAAGGTATCACTTAGTAATATAAGCTATAATATTATGAACCATCATTGACTCTTAAAATTATTAAACATAAAAAACGTCCTAGATATCCCAATTTATATTTAAAAAAAATAAGTAATCTTTTTCAAGATGAATCTTTTAGAATATAACTTAAATTATTAATATTATATGATATAATATCATGCACATTTTTATTTTTATACCTGATGATGAATTTTTCTTGAAACCTGTCGTAAATATTATATGCATTATTTCACAATAATAGTCTATTTAAGTTAGTCTAACTTTTTTCTATTTTTCTATTATCATTGTCAAAAATATTTCATAATTTTAAAAACCTATTTTATACTTTTAATGATTTAACATCAACAATAATTTCTATGTCAAATATTGTTTAAGAAGGTGAGAATTATTAGAGTTAATATGAAAATACATCAAAAGCTTTATTCTTGCTTTGTTTGATTTTTTATAGAGCTCGTTTGTCATATCATTTCCAATATGATAATGAGTCTTATTTTAAAATAATTTCTCTTCCTATAAATGTATTAAATGAATTAACAAATAAAATAAATTATAAGAAAATCTTATATATTTTTAACAATAATAAAGAAAATAATCATTTATGAGTTGTGTTAATACATTTAATTTATAATATATATATATATAGTAATAAAACATGTTTAGAATAACAATTCATATTTTTATAAACCAAAATGAGAAAAATCAGTCATAGTATGGTACATTTCAATAATTTATAACAACAAAATGACCAATAGAATATTAATTAATTGATATTTTTTTACAGGCAATTATTATTAAAAGTATAATATATTTAAATTTGTATAAAATAATAATTACAAATTATTTTAAGAGAGGATGTTAAATATAATTATAATTAGTTAACATAGTTTTCAAGACTTAGATGATAAAAAAATTCAGTCAAAATGAAGTACATTTCAATTTGTTTTACTTAATAAATAATAATAATAATAATTGAAAAATGCTAATAATATGCATCTGTTAATGACTCGGTAATAAAAAAAAAATCAGTCCTAAGTAGCCGTACGTCATTAGTCTTCCAAGTTTCTAGAATTTTTGTAGTTGTGCTTTTGATTTTAGTAAGTTTGAATGTTGGTTCAAGTACCTCATTCTAATAAAAATGTACTTTTAGATTCTGAGTGAAACGATGAATGTATTGATTTTACAATGATGTGTGTTTTTTTATTTTTTTTTATTTTTTTTATTTTTTTATTTTTTTTTGTGTCTGTCATCACGTTTTAGGACAGTAAAAGTGCTTGGATTTTCTTCATCAGTAGCTTTTCTGATAGGAAAGTGAATCTAGTTGGTACTTTGGGGGGTCAAAAGTATAAATTTCCCAGTAGTTTTCACAAGCGCCGGGAAAAACAACATAAAAATTAAGGAAAAACGGGAATTTTTACGCAAAATTGGTTTTCCAAAAAATCGATTTTGGTTTTTGGTGTAACTCTGAAACAAATGAACGTATATACATGAAATTTTCACTGGTTGTTTATATTTGCATTTTCTATACATGATAACATTTTCAAAATATTTTGATTTATTTTGAACTGTTTAGGGACATTTTCATTTTCCATTTTTTTTTAGTTTTTTTTCTAAAAATATCAATAAAATTTTATTTGTTGGTTGCGAAAGCTTGAAAATTTAATAGAAGGCTCCTAATATATTGTTTCAAAGGCAGATGAAAAATATTAAAAATCCTTAGTCACATATTTTTTTTATAAGCATTTAAAGTTCAAAAATTGACAAAATATGGGAAAATCACGAAAATTAGCAAATTATTTTGAGTTAAGAATTCGTAAAAATTTTTCTTTTTAAATCTAAGATTTGAAAATTAAACACAAGATTCCTTATAAGTTTGTCTACCTTTATCAAAAGAAAAATGTCTATAAGAAAGTCAAATTAAATTTTTATGAGCGTTTGAAATTCAAATTTTTACAACATTGAATATTCACTCGATTTCCCATGTAGCGATTTCCTTATTTTGTTGTAATTTAAAAACAAATAACTGTAGATACATGAAAATTTCACTGAATATTTATATTAGCATTTCCTATACACCATACAATTTTGAAAATATTTTGACTCTTTTTGAGCTGTTTATGGACCTTTACAGCTTTCATTTTTTTTTAGTTTTTTTTTCTATAAATATCAATAAAGTTTTATCTGTTGGGCCAAAAAGTGTAAAAATTTAATACAAGGCTCCTGATATATTGTTACAATATCAGTTGAAAAATATTAAAAATACATAGGCACAGTTTTTTTTTATAAGCATTCAAAGATCAAATTTTGACAAAATTTATCAAAATCTCGAAAATTATCAATCATTGTAATTAATAAATTATAAAATGTTCAGTTTTTATAGCTAAGGATTGCAAATTCAACACAAAGGTTCTCGTAAATAGTTCATACTGTAACCAAAAAATCTAAAAAATATATGAACACACTTATTTTTTACAGACATTTTAAATTCAAATTTGGACGAAATTACATATTAAAAAACCTAGAATAACTATTTTAGTTATTTTGTTGTGATTGAATAATATTATTCGTGGATACTTGAAACTTCTAAACTGTACTATTATATATCTATGATAGTATCACGGTTTTTGTTGATGTATAACGCGTTATAAGTACCTAATGGATATTTTGATATGATTAATTTGGAATTTATTATAGGTACCCATTATAGGTCAATTTTTTGTTTAATACCATAGATATGTATATAATATGTCTTATACATAGACTGACATACCGTCTCCGCTCAGAATCGTTTTTCTTATACAATGATATTATATCGTTGAATTCAAATTTAATATCATACATTATACAGTGACCCACTTGTAACCTACTGTACAGCAGAGCGACACCCACTTGCCCACCTTTTTTTCTTTTTATTCATCATTAGGTCATTTGCTAAAATGAACAACAATATTATTATTAATTATTATTATAATAGCCAGCTTGTACAAAGTAATACCACAGATTATATTATAAAACAGTTAAACAATATTTAACAGTTTAATATAATCTGTGATAATACTATAAAAGTATAAAAATAAAATGTATTTACCTGTGGAATGAAATATCAGTTCTCCCACAAGTAGATACCGCGCAAACGGAACAATCTTTAGGTTTATTTATTTTCTTCGTGGCCATAATAAGTAATTATTCAAATTAAAACACTATTTAATTATAAATTAATAAAAGAAAATCGAAAGGTAGTGAAACGAAGCTACGAGAAAGGCATAAAAACTTGAAAAACCATAATATGAAATTTTCTAAAACTCTTGTTCTTTGGATATTTTCAATATTTTCAAAATGAGGAAACCTTTATAATCTTGCGATGGATCTCAGAGTGGTACCATTGAAAACCATGAGACGAGTGGCCACCCTGTTTCCAAAGAGAATACATATTTCATATCTGCCGACCAAGTTCCTAACCTATAATAATTGTATATTATGAATGTTGTGACTTGTGTTCGTGTTCCTGAATTCTCTTTCTCTCGAATTCAGTCTTCGAGTTTTACACCGTATTCTCATTTTTCTTCGTTCCTGAAGCAAAATGGTAAGTTCATTATAATTTATAATATAGTTTTTTAATTGTATTTTCATTATTATTAATCGTATTGTACTTACCGTGTGCATAAGTTTTACTGTAACGTCATAATAATTAAGTGATCCTATCTTCGAGAAAAACTTTGAAAACCATGTGGCATGTATAATATTTATGAATGGCGTTTGGTTCGCCATAACTTTTGTCATTGACATTTCTAAATATTATGTACATTGATTCGTTACTCATTGATTCATGTGATTGCTACAAGTTACTAGCTTCAGATATATTCCGTTTGACACAGTTACTATTGCCTTAATATATTTATTTTACTCGAAACCTTAAGGTAAATTCTTCATTTGTATTCTATTATACTAACGTGTTTGATTGTTCTAAAGTAAATTTATAACAGTACTTTCAACTTAAAATTTGCTTTTCACTTAGTTATTACTAGTAATACTCTTGATAGTACATAACAATTATCTTGTTATATATACTATAACAAGATATCTGTAACTGGGTTCTTACAGTAAAACAAATAAGCGGAATTTCCACTTATGTGTAATATATGGTTTAATTATAGTGTTTTTGTATTAATGTATATTTATTACTGTTTGTCTGGTTAGAGCATTCTAAATTATTCTACATCTTACTTTAAATCTTATTTTAGACTACCAGTAAAAAGAAGACCAGGAAATTGCGAGGTCATGTCAGTCATGGACACGGTCGTATTGGTATGTATTAACAGTCTATACAATTTACTACTTTTGCTATTTTATTAAATTAAAACTATTTAAATATTTTGCACCATTTGATCAACATTATAACGAATTCTAGTTTTTTGTTATAAAGTGTGTGCTAAATAAATTTGATATGTTTTTCATTCATCAATTAGTTTATTTTATTATTTCAATTGAAGAAATCCAATCAACACATATTGTTCTGGATTAGTCTTCAATAATTCAGATTACCTACACATTAAGATGATATTAAACACGGTTTTAGAAGATAAGGTGTGGACTCTTTGCTTATAATTGTGTCCGCAATCAGAGGACATTTTAGTGCTTATTTTAGGGCCGATTTCACCCATCCCAGTTAATCACGATTAAAGTTAAGTGGAGTTTTAATCGGCCGTTTAATATCTGTTATCAGCCGGTTAACGTTAACCGTGATTAACGGTGTAACCTGGTGGCAAAGAAATCGAAAAAAATAAAATTGGTCCCCAATCATTAATTAAGTAACTAACTAAACGTCTAAACTAAAGTTAATAATTAAATAAAATGATGATAAATAATACCTAATAATTATGATATTTTTAAATGTTATACATAACCTTAATAAAGTTCTGTTTGAAGCGCCTAATATAATAGTGGCAAAATACTCAACCAAAATGTCCTCTCTAAGCGACCGGATTGATTAATGTTGTTAAATAGGGAAGTGTCCCGACCTTATCTTCTAAGACCGTGATATTAAATATGTAAATTAAATAACCAAAATGATGATATTCAGTTTAGCGACAGGCGGTCTGAAGTACAATTTTTATGTGGCTAGTTTATTTCAATCTGATTGGTCTATGTCTAAAGTTATTAATACGTGTAATAATACGTCTATATGTTTAATATTATTTGGTTATGTGAATATTATTAATGGATTTATTTAATAATTAAAGGTAAACATAGGAAGCATCCCGGAGGTAGAGGTAATGCTGGTGGTATGCATCACCACAGAATAAATTTTGACAAATACCATCCTGGTTATTTTGGAAAGGTAACAAACATAAAGATTATTTATTTAAATTAACATAGTAGAGATGTCCAATGCTTTTAAGTATTCAACAGTAGTGGAATTAAAAAAAAAATTTTAATATTAAGCCGCCCCTTCCAAACCAAGAAACATAATTCTGACATTGTTATTGATAAATATTTATGATATCTCGTATGATGTTGAACACGTGTTTTGAGAAAGCTTGTCTGGGCAGGGATTTACTTATCAGTTATCAGTGAATGTAGTAGTATTAATAAAAACACGATACCTAACATAAAAATAATTTATGTTGGGTTGCATAAAAAATAAATTAATTTAATGGACCAATTATGCGCTACTTAATCAGGGTTCATTAGCTCACTATTGATTCAATAAATACATTTTTAATGATTGTTCCTGCAACCCGGCATTAGTATTATTAAAATTTTAATATGTAGGTTATGTTAGAAATACACAGTTCGGTATTTTAAGAATTAAAAATTGTATTTTAATATTCACAATAAAAACCATTACTACTGTGCAGTACCAGGCCATAACTCCCCCGCAAGTACTGTCATAGTGAAGCTGCGGCTCTGTGCAAAATCAAAAGCCGAGTACAGTTCTTAATGTGAATGTGATATAATAATTGTATCAAATTTTAACATGATTTTGTTTTTTAGTTGGGTATGCGTAATTACCATTTGAGAAGGAATTCAAAATGGTGTCCTGCTATTAACCTTGAACAATTGTACACCCTGATCCCTGAAGAAACTAGGCAGAAATACGAAAATGACAAAGAAAAAGCCGTTGTCATTGATGTTGTCTCAAAGGTAAATACTAAATGTGTATATATTTTTTTTTTAACTTTAAATTGAATCTAAGTGATGATATAATTATTGTTTAGCGACAGGCGGTCTGAAGTACAAATTTTTATGTTGCCAAAATTTAATCTGATTTTTTCAATTTTTTCTATTGGAATATATTTTTATGTGTATATACAAATTACTAATAACACTTATGTATTATAAAAAAATATTATTTTTCAGGGTTACTACAAAGTATTGGGAAAAGGTAATCTTCCCAATCAGCCACTTATTGTAAAGGCTAAATTCTTTTCCAAGGTTGCTGAGCAAAAGATTAAGAAAGTTGGAGGTGCCTGTGTACTTCAAGCCTAATTTGGTTTATATGTATAAATGACCCATTATATTTAAAAATATAATAAAAACAACTTTTTTTTTAAACAATGAGTACTGAGTTTTTATTAACCTAATTTTAGTAAAAATTATATGATCATACATTGTCACTTTTTGAAATGTAAAATTATTCCTTGAAAACTCTTTCAAAAACTAATTTAAAATCCAGTGGAGTGCAAAACATTGTCTTTACAAACTACAGACATTAAAGGTATATTTCAAACATAAACGGATTGCAGTTGTCAGGTCCTGAAAGGACTAATACAACACGGTGAAATGCATATATTGTGTTACAAGATTAGACAGCCGACACTTTCAACTAGTCACGTAATCACTTGGAGTATCTATTTTCAACTTTTATTCTAAAATGATAACTACTAAAACATGGTATTGTTTTGAAGTCTCCCCATTTTATGGTAATGTTATGGAACGTATGATGTGTTTTAATTTATAAAAAAGAATTGAAATCTTATGATAATTTAAATAAGATTAAAGAAATTGAAATGAAAATATTTTAATATACTAAAAAAATAAAAATTTAAGTGTTCGTACCTTCGGGCTTAAATTACGATCAGCTTTTGTGGCGCCAACTTCAGTCAATATTACTGTAGTTTGTTAGGAAAATTGAATAATTATCTAAATCTTGAAAAAATGAAAACTTGTTATTTAATAAAAGTATTACTCAAAATAGTATAATTTATTGCTTTAAAGTTTAAATATTAAATGGTAATATATTTACAAATTTGATATAATACAAAAAAAGCTCGTTAACAATATATTACAAAAAATGTACACAAAAGTTACATAAATATACATATATTGTATTCATATTTAAAAAAAATATAGTTATTTTTTTACAATTCATGATAAACGACTGTTGTTTGTATTGGAACTGTCATCGGACGAGTCTGAATTATGATTTCGTACGTGTTTCTTAGACTTTTTTGATTTATGTTTATGTTTGGATTGTCTACTACTACGTTCTCTCTTGCGATCTTTTGATGAACTATGATGGCTAGAGTGAGACTTTTTCGAACGCCTGCTACTTCGATCTCTGTCACGAGATGAATATCGACTAAACATAAATGAAATGTTAAAAATTGAGCAAGAAGAATAAATCAAATAATTTATTAACTCATTCAATCAAAAATAAATTTAATTAAATTTTAGTATATAAAAATGTGGTTTGTTTTTAAAACACGTTAAATAATATATTAACTACTTACTGATCTGGAGATTTTTCTTTACTTTCATCATAATGTTTTATTCGTTTGTAATCTTTATCTTTTTCTTTCTCACATCTTTCTATTTTTTTGCGCTTATTGTCTCTAGATAACGTTTCTGAAAAAAAATAAACTCCTATGTTTAACAATCATGAATCCATTATATTTTCCTTTCGTCCTATAAGAAGTTTTAACTTCGGATATAAATAAGATAGATTTGTTGAGTGTAAAATAACTATTTACCAATTGGTTAGTATTGTCTCAAAATGTGGAGGGTAAAAAATATTGATGGAGAGTACTAGAGTTGATAAACATTGTATGAGCAAAACCATAGTTATTTTAGAAACAGAATTTAAGTGTAAATAAAAAGTAAGAATATGGCTGCAAAAAAAAAAAAAATTTACTATGGGAATTGAAAAATATTTATTTTATGAAGAATTATATTGGTATGTACACTTAGGGCCTTCAATGTCCGGTCAAAGTTAACGGACACTTAACCAGAGGAATTCTGCTGGTATTAAAATCTAATGTCAGTCAGTTAGTTGGTGTTAACCGACACTTACCGAAAATTGTAAGAACGACCCTTAAACTGATAAGAACATTATAAATGACATACCTTGGAGTCTTGATTGCAAAGATAATTTGCTACTTTTATTCCCATTTATATTTTTATTTAAATGACCATCAGTAGATATATCTTCATCACTAGAAAGTTTTCATTCATTTGGATTAAATTTTAAGTATTCAATACATAATTACAATACAAATTGTATAAATAATTTAAATACCGTACCTAGAACCAATAGATATTATGTCTTGTACTTTGGAAGTAAGTGGTTGAACATTTAAATCATGATCTGGTAAACCATTTTTTTCATCTGTAGACGGTTTCTGATCAACAGTATTCACTACAGCTGTATGAACGGGCAAATCTACATATAGAATATCACACATTATGTTAGTTGTATATATTAAATTACTACAGTACAGTTAATGCAATAATAACTACTGCCTGGAATGTGAGTTTCTGATTTCTCTTCAGGCTTGATAGTATTTGAACTTTTGGAAGACGATGATGATGATATGATTTTCATAGAAGCCAAAAATTGTGCAGCCTTTCTTTTTCTTTCAGCTTGAATTTTTTCTTTTTCTTTTTTGGTACGTTCTCTTTCCAACATAAAAAGTTTTTCTTTTGCTGCCATAGCTAATTTGTCTTTTAATCTTTCTTCAGCTGTAATTAAATTATATTAATTAGTTATGTACTTTGATACATTTTTTTAGTACAATTCTCTAAAATCAGCAAAAATGTATGATTTATTTATCGGATTGCATATTTTATATTTTTATAAAAAGATATTTTGGGACTAAAACTTGACCATACGTCTCTAAAATAATTTTTTATTAAATGTATACAACATCCAATTAATATGATGTTGAAATAAAACAAAAAAATTATCTTTCTATCTATTACATTATGACCTTACCTAATTTAGCTGTATTTTGTAATGAATTTTTCTTCACGGACACAGAAGATTTATTCGATTTATTATGATTTGATTCTGTTTTATTAATACGGTCTTTTTTATGTTCATCATCACTTGTTTCGTTTGAACTATCTTCAAGAGCACTTTTTTTTATCTCAACCACTTCAGATTCTTTTTGTTTTTTTAGTGAAAAACACACAGGTACTGTAATAAAAATATATGAAAGTTATTAATTTCATTATAATTACAATACAAAAAAAAAACTCAACGTAAATAACAATAGTATACAAATTAATTTAAATATTTATATATATAAATAATAAAACCGTTTGAATTATTTTATTATTAAAAGACTAAACAAAATCAATACAATGGTTAGTTTCCAAATTTGGTAAATTTAATTTTCAGTAAATAGAAATTTGCAATAACCATAACAATAACCTTTTCCTCAAATATTTCATTTATTTAAAATTTATAAGTTTTAGCCTTAAAATTTAAAAAGAATCAAATGCTTTTTAATTAAATTATCAATATAAAATTTTAAAAAATACCTTCTGCCGTATTTTATGTTAGTTTAATTTTCCCGGACAAAGGAATATACAGCAAGTTTAATATTTAGTTTAATATATTCAAAAGTATTAGTGGGAAGTATAGAGGTTAAATACCCAAGCAATGATATTAATATTTGATTGATCGTTACATAACATTTGAAGGCCCCAAGTTCTCTCTAGTTAAGAAAAAAATCCCAGTTAAACCTTAAACATATGAAAGCTGAGAGAATTAACTAAATGCTTATGAGATGCAAAAAGTACATAATACACAATGCAATTTACTTAAGAACACATAAATATATAATATTTAATTATAAGTTTTCATACTTACATTTGGAATTTGTTTTAGAATCCACATTTGATTTGGATGGAGCTGTTTGTTCCAATCGTTTAATCGTGGCATATAGTTTAAGCTTTTGAGTATAATATGCATTAAAAGAGTCATCAGGCTCTAGGAATTTCAGTCGTGGATCCTCTAAATACAAAACAATCAAATAAAATATTTTGAACTGAATATTGTTATAATGTACTCACGTCTTTTTCGAGCAGTTTCTTCAAATTGTTTTCCGTTTTTTGTCACATAAGAAGCCATTTTGTCAATAATAATTTGTAAATCATTAGGTGGCACATCAATACCAACAGTAACGTTTTGATGAACTGGATTAGAAATTTCTGATTCAGTTTTGTTATTAGAAGCAGGCTAGGAACACAAAATATTTTCAACATCTGACATAATCATACATAATCATAGTGGCAAATAGAAAGGCAAGAAGGGTTTTATCATAATGCTAAACTTAAAAATATCCCGTATAACAACTATAGGTTTGTGTTAACCAAGATAATTCTTAATTGTGTGTTATCCATAGATATCTATTATAAACTATAAATAAACAAAATTTAATTATATGCATACTTCGACTGAACTTAGTTCATCAATTATTTCATTATCATCTGTGTCCGGAGAATTTGAAGCATTTAATGTAGATTGAGAAACCAATTTTTTCTTCAAACGCCGTCTGGCTGATTTAGTAAGTCCATCAAATTCTGATGTAGTTACATTTATAGAAGGAGTTTCTACTTCATTTATGATGGTTTCCTCTACAGGCATTGCAGATTGTTTCTCTTTAATTTTATTAACTAGTAATGAGTATGAACAGTCAGCAGAAGGTTTGTACGTTATATTTGGTATAAATGGCGTCTGCAAATAAATTCAATAATATGTAAATTATTATTTAGTAGTGGTACTGAGTTGAGAGAGTTGTGTGCAAAATGAAATTTGATTGTCAAGCTATTCCAGACAAGAATGGTAATGACTTGAATAGGAATTATCTTAGGAAAAAATTGTATTGATATCTTCTGAATTATGAGCTAAATCACTAACTAGCTCACAATGAAATTGAAATATTTTAAATAGATTATTGTTGGTCCAATTAAGAATTTAGTTTAAAATGATTAAATATCAATGATTTCTATAAAAATATATTTTGGTAACAATTAAAGATACAGCATAAGACACAATAGGAATAAAACGGGTTTAGGTTGAAGCTAAAAATAATTGGAGAAATAGTAACTCGATCTGCTCACAATTATTACCTGAAAAATAAAACATAACATTGAAATTGTATACAAAGATTATTTAAGATCAGTAAAAAATAGTTTTTTATGGATAAAATAGTGTATGTTGTTCAAATGTTTTATTTTATTTTATGAAAATAATGGATTTACTGGTTGATTGATCAACATTGAAGATACTGTACTTTAGTATTTAAAATATCACGGATAATCCTTAACTTACCTTACTTGTTTAAAATTAATAGAATATTATAAAATAAAAATGTTAAAATCTTGTTCACATAATGAATTATGTTATTATAATACAACTAACTTAACTTTACAAACTCTTCTAACCTTACCTGTCTAAAACTTCTTTATATTGTTATTTATTTTATTATCAAATGAGACAATAATAGAATCAAACTTATTTTAATTAATTTAACATCATATTATTTGAACAAACTGCTTAAATAACAAACCTAAATTATGTATACCTCAGTAATGTAACATATTGTTGTTGAAGTAAATTATTTTATTTGAAAGTCATATTATACGTTAGATCCAATAACTCAATATTTATTGCTATCATAAACCTAAAATAAATTTGAAATCATGTATGAACCCCAATATTTCACACTGTTTTTGTACTAGTTGTAATGAAAATGGAAAATAACAAAAACATAAATGTTTTGGTTTAAAAGTGAATGTAATCTATGAATTAAACAAATACCATTAAAAGTTATAGAATATAATAAATTAATACTGATACGCATAAAATAAGAAATTGTATAGATACATAGATAAAATAAATTAGTAGAATTAATAGAATTTTTTTTTTTATTTAACAGTGCATAATTATACAAAAATAGCCTTAAATAACAAACTATTAAGTTGAGTTCTTGTAAAGTGTGAGATATTTTAAATAAATAGGATCATAATTTTGTTTCTTAATTGTAAAACAGTTAGTCAAAAATAATTAGTTTACAAAAATTAAATTTATACTAAATATACTAAAAAACAAATATAGATAATATCAATTTAAGAACATTGAGTTTAGACAGTTTATTTAAATCTAAGTAGCAATTGCAGTATTTTTGAATTCAGTTTTAAATTATTGTATTTTATTTCAGGCAATTTTTTGAGATAACAAAGTGTTTTTGGTTTTGTGAGATATATTCTTTTGGACATTAAAATTTAAAAATACCATAATAATAGGCTACAGTATATAGTATTATAAATTGAACTCAAAAAGAAAGGTTTCAAATCATATGTATTAGAACATTATTAATGTTTTGATTTAAAAAAATATAATGTATTAATTATAGACTTTTTAAAAGACATCCCATCGTTGAAATTAAACATAACACTATTCTAAGATGAAGAGTGTTTTAGATCAGTGTATATAAGTAATAATACCTACCTAATAATTAAAAAATATCAACCCAATTACTAATTATGGAAATATCTAGAAATGTATCCAATTATCAAATTATTATTTTATTATTTTCAAAACATTTAACAATTTAAAAGGAATCACATAACTTACCAGCATCCAGACCGTGTGGCATTCAAGATGACCATTCTGAATACACTTAAGTATCATCTTCGTATTGTAAAATCATGGTTATTTACAATTTCATCAGAAATCTAAATTTATGTAATTTAACCAAAAGTCTTCTTTTTTACCTTTTACCTCATTATAATCTTATATGTATATAGATGATGTATTCCACTTGCAATATTATAAATGATTCACTTATCTACAGTTATAACCAACACATTATAATGCAATGATATCACTTGACGTCAAATTCCTACTATTTAACAGATCAGTTTACGTGAAATAAAATAATCTATTCGTTATCCTGAATATTGAAAAGGATTAAACATTTGTTTTTAAATATAATATGATATAGTTATATTCCAATTCTTAATCAAAATTCTGACTAAAAATAATTTTTTTTTTTAACAAAAGAAAGACTTATTTTACAATTATTATTTTATTTTAGATATAAAATAAATTCTTATCTTAAGTTTGAATGTAATTTATATAATGATTCTTCTTAAGTATCACTATTTCAGCAAGAAATAATATCTGTTTTTCTTAAATATATAATATAATGACGTTAGATATCACAGACAAGTAATGTTATCACATGTTTTTTTTTCAAAATCCGTGAATTATTTTAAAATATTTGTTAAAATTTTGTAGTAGAAGAAATACTAGGGAACCTACCGTTTCTGGTTGTTTTGCACTTTTTAATAGGCTTGGATGAAGGTAACTCTCTTCATTTGAGGAATCTAACGAATCTGAAAAAAAAAATTATAATTTATTACTAATTTCTGTAATAGAAGCATAAACCATACATTTTCCCCAAATTATTAAAATGATCTAGAAAAAAGTCTAATGACAAAATAATTATTATTTGAGAAACATTGTGGAACTTAAGATAAGCGCATGACATAATTGGGCTAAATACCTATATAATTGCTTATCTTGAATCCTAGGACAAAGAGACCAAGTACAAAAAGTCAGAATTGAAGAATCGGACAAAAATTCCAAATTCAAAAAAGTAGTTTAAAAATAAAGTATTGAAACAAATCAGAAAAAAAGTTTTAAAATAAAAATTATTCAATTCCAAAATTTTGCTTAACAGTAAAAATAACTGTCTAATCGTTAAAATCATAATTTTGACTAATTGCCTTTCTTATACATGTAAAAGTTGCAAAATTCAAAAAATGATTTACTTTAATATTATATTATTAAGTTTTTAATTTCTTGATTTTTAATCATATGGTAATTGGAATAAAAAAATCTAACTTTTGAACATTTGTGAGTTGTGGTAAATAGAGAAATAGTAAAAATATAACTCAGTTGTAATGGGTAGGTGGCTTATGATGTTAGCTTTAATATAAGATACTAATAAGATGGATCCAATATCATGCCTGAGCAGTGTTATGAAAATGTCAGTGTTCTGTGTTCAGTCCTAAAAAGTGAAAACTATATTGTATGTAAAATTAAAAAATTTACATTAAATTAATTAACTTTTTAACAATTAAAAAAATAGTCAATTTTAGCTACATTTTTCTTTCTTATAGCCAATGTGATCCTAACAAGACCCTAAACAACAAAATCATATTTTCCAATTTCGAAAATCTGCGTTGCTAAAGAAAAATCTAGCTAAAATTGACTATTTTTACAACGCAGATCCCTGAAACTGAAAAAACGGATTTTGTTATCAATAGTATATAAAAATAAATAAATGATATATTCAATTTCTAGCTTCCTCTATTACTACCTTTAACACAAAAACACTTAAGACAATGACTTAAAATAGGTAAATAATTGTTTAAAGTGAACAACTTTACATGGATAAAATGGGCAATCATGTGGAGTCCGGTCCAATACCCTACAACCCAATGAATAATGTGATTAGAAACATAGTTCTAATATCATTATTCTCAGATTTTAATATTTCTTTCTAACTAAAACAATATTATATTTTTTTTGGGTGCTCCTTTAAGATTATAAAAATGTTACCTTCGGCACTATCATTAGCAAGTGTAGGATTATAGCGGCAAGACCGGATAGCTGAAAGTACATGTTGATAGTAAGGGTAAAGTGGTCTGTCGAATGACAAAAATTCAAACTGAGGATTGTGCGCTTGTTTAGCCTTTAATAAAACTTCCATTTGTGCTCCATGCTTGGATATGAACAATGCAGTTTTTTCAATAATAGCATTTAATTTTTTCGTTGGAGGCTAAAAGTAAAATCAAATGTAAAAATGAAGCAATCCTTTTTAGTTGTTTATATTTTGTTTATCTTACCACGTGCATATTAGAAGGAATTTCCAATTCTCTAGGGGGAATAAAAGCTTCTTCCAGTTCAGGATCATAATCTGTATCATCTGCAGTTTTTAGTTCGGAAGTATTTGAAGATTCATCCTCATATTTATAACCAACTTGCCCATATTCTTTTTCATCATTATTTAAAGCCTGGTGGAGCCGTTTAAGTTCTTCCTCTATAAACAAATAATATTATAGCATATAATACTATCTATATATTTAGACGTATTATAAATAGGTTGGATTTACTAACAATAATTTGTAATTTAATATTTTTGTGTACTCAAACAGTACAATTTAATTTAATTTGAAATAGGTATGATAGCAATATACATGGTATATACATATAATTTTAAATTAATATAAATTAAAATAAGTACTTTGCCCTGTTAACTTTGAAACGACAAAATATGTCATGTTAGCAAATCACACAAATTAATTTAGAACAAAATATAAATATTAAAAATCTTAATTTGTAAAATATAACATATCATAAACTTGAGTATCATCTACTAATATTATAACTTTTGAAGTATATAATAAGTTATGTAACACTTTTAAATATACATTGAATTTGAACAAAATTAAATTGTAAGCTTGTAGGTACCTATGTAACAGAATAAGTTATTTCAAATCTATGAAAAAATTTAACATGTGTTTATAACTGCAAAAATTAAGGTTATTTCAATAAGAATTATAATTACATATCTGACCACATTTTATACCTTGGTAAATTGATTCTTCTTCACTTTTATCATTGAGAGACTTATACCTTTCTTCATCACATAACTGTTCGATTTTCTTTTCATCAGCTGTCAATCCTTCCCACCGGCTTTGTCCAAACGGTAAGGCTTCTACAGACTTTAAGTCACTTAAAGCCCCACGACAATCATATCTGTAAAACATACACATACAGCACATACAGCTTTGATCCTAAACTCTTAGAGAATAAATTATGACGTTTACCTGTCTATTTTTAATGCATCATCGCCCATCCAAGGTATCAAATGCTTTCCTTGATCAATGAAAAGCGCTTTTTCGTCATCTTTAAATAATTTGCACGAATATCCAAACACCAATAAAGTTTGTTTTTCATCTTCAGACGTACCATTGGTGGTAGACCGATTCTTGTAAGCATTTATATAAGACATGACACGAAACAATTAACACTCAAAATCAAAAATGATTAACCACTAACTGACTTATTTTACCAAGTAAGAAGAAATTTATATGTTTATTACATTTTATTGTTTTTGAAAAACCAAAAATTCGCAAGTTCAAAACACGTTAAGTCTTCAGACATCAGAATGTTCAGAACTGAATGTCTGAATATATAAAAAAATGTGATAAATGATAATAATTATTATAAAAAAAATAATTACTGTGCCAATACATTGTAGATTTCTTTTACAAACAAACCCAGATAAACATTTATGGTAAACAATGATAACAGCCAGGTCACATGGTATTGGGAAAACAAATTAACACTGGGAGCGCTGTCGACGCCTATCGTACTGATGGTTGGGCGGGTTCCCCCCTACATGCAGTCGGGGCTCGAGTCGGGTTTTCGCGGCATTTCGAATACATTTTGCTTTAAGTGAAGTGAAGTGAAGTGAATTTGAACGTATTTGATAATATTAGTAGAAATTATATTTACCAACATATACAGTTAGCTATAAAAGCGTATAAAGTTTTCATAGCAATATTAATTTATTATAAAAAGTAAAATAACCAACATAAAACTATATCTATACATCCCGAATTGGAAGGTACAAATTGTTTCCACCAGAGCGCGTTTTGTTAATTTGTTTCCCCAATAGCCGAACATTTTGTTCTTTAACCAAACGGGTCGCACTGCAAATATATTAGGTTTGTTCGTTTTGACAAAAAGTGTACACTTTTTCACAATAAGTGTACACCAAAGCGTTCGTTTTGAAATAGTGTAGTTGTACACCCTGTTCGTTTTAAAAAAGTGTTACATCAGTGTACACTTTCTTCACACCGACCCCAGAGGAGGTGTAGCCGGTGTAGGTGTTGATCGTTATCATTTCTTATTCTTATCAGCAAATAGTTGATTCTGTAGCACGATCTTAAATCGATAAAAATTATCAGCTGATTAATCAACACCAAAAACGTTTGTTTTAAAAACAGATTTTTAATCACACCCCTTACACTTTCCCCTGACACTACACTAATTAGTGTACACTTTTTTTTCAAAACGAACAAACCTATTGTATTAAATCTAACGAAACGATAAAGTTTGTAAACATTTTAAACTATACACCTACGTTTTTATGAATTTTTTAGATTCTGAGTGGAACGATGGATGTATTAGTTTTACAATGATGTGTGTTTTTATTTTTATTTTTGTGTCTGTCATCACAGTTTGGGGCAGCAAAACTGCTTCGATTTTCTTCAACAGTATCTTGTTCGATGGGAAAGTGAATCTCGTTAGTGCATTCGGGAGGTCAAATTTTAAAATTTCTAATAGATTTCACTAGCGCCGGGAATAACCACATACAAATTTAGGAAAAACGGGAATTTTTAAGCAAAATCGGTTTTATAAAAAACGATTTTGGTTTTTGGTGTAACTCTAAAACAAATGAACGTATATACATGAAATTTTCACTGGTTGTTTATACTTGCATTTTCCATACACGATAAAATTTTCAAAATATTATGATTTGTTTGAACTGATTAGGAACATTTTCATTTTCCATTTTTTTTTAGTTTTTTTTTCTAAAAATATCAATAAAATGTTATTTGTTGGTTAAAAAAGCTTGAAATTTTAATAGATGGGCTAGTAGTATATTTTTTCAGAGGCAGATGAAAAATATTAAAATCCTTAGTCATGTTTTTTTTAAAAACATTTAAAGTTCAAAAATTGACAAAATAAGGAAAAATCACGAAAATTAACAAATTATTTTGAGTTAAGAATTCGTAAAAATTTTTTTTTTAAATGTAAGATTTTCAAATGTAATACAAGATTAATTTTAAGATTATCTACCTTTATCAAAAAAAAAAAATGCCTATAAGAAAGTCAAATTAAATTTTTATGAGCGTTTGAAATTCAAATTTTTACAACATTGGATATTCACTCGATTCTCATGTAGCGATGTCCTTATTTTGTTGTAATTCAAAAACGAATAACTGTAGATACATGAAAATTTCACTGAATGTTCATATTAGCATTTCTTATACACTGTACAATTTTGAAAATATTTTGACTCTTTTTGAACTGTTTACGGACATTTTCAGTTTTCAATTTTTTTAGTTTCTTTTTCTATAAATATCAATAAAGTTTTATCTGTTGGGCCAAAAAGTGTAAAAATTTAATACAAGGCTCCTGATATATTGTTACAATAGCAATTGAAAAATATTAAAAATACATGAGCACAATTTTTTTTATAAGCATTTAAAGATCGAATTTTGACAAAATTTATCAAAATCTCGAAAATTATCAATCATTGTAATTAATAAATTATAAAATGTTCAGTTTTTATAGCTAAGGATTGCAAATTTAAAACAAAGTTTCTCATAAATAGTTCATACTGTAACTAAAATATCTAAAAAATATATGAACACAGTTATTTTTTACAGACATTTTAAATTCAAATTTGGACGAAATTACATAATAAAAAACCTAGAATAAATATAAATAAAAATAAATTTTTTTAGTCTCTTTTTCTATAAATATCAATAAAGTTTTATCTGTTTGGCCAAAGAGTGTAAACATTTAATACAAGGCTCCTGGATCCTGATATATTGTTACAAATTACAATAGCAATTGAAAAATATTAAAAATACATGGGCACAATTTTTTTTTATAAGCCATTTAAAGATCGAATTTTGACAAAATTTATTAAATTTAAATTTGAATAACTATTTTGTAGTTAAAAATGTATAAAATGTTCAACTTTTATATCTAAGGATGAAAATGTAAACAAGATTCCACGTAAGTAGTTAGTTAATTTTGTTACTAAAAAATCTAAAAAAATACATAAGCACAGTTATTTTTTATAGTCATTCTAAATTCAAATTTGGACGAAATTACATATTAAAAACCTAGAATAACTATTTTAGATATTTTGTTGTGTATACTGTATAATATTATTCGTGGGTACTTGAAAGTTCTAAAGTGTACTATTATAGTATTATATATCTATGATTGACGATAGTATCATGGTTTGTTGTTGATGTATAACGCGTTTAGCGTTATGTGTAAATAATGGATAGGTATTGTGATATGATTAATTTGGAATTTATTATGGGTACCTATTATTATAGGTAATTTTTTTTTAATACTATAGATAAGTAGGTATATAATATGTCTTAACCTAGACTGACATACCGTCACTGCTCAGAATCGTTTTTCTAATACAATGATATTTTATTATTGAATTCAAATTTAATACCATCAATTATACAGCGACCCACTTGTAACCTACTGTACAGCAGAGCACTTTTTTTTTCTATGAATGTCAATAAAACTTTATTTGTTGGATAAAAAAGCTTCAAAATTGAATACAAGGCTCCTACTATATTGTTACAATGACATTTTGAAAAGTATTAAAAATAATCCTTAGGTACAATTTTTTTTTATAAGCGTTTAAATTTCAAATCTTGACAAAATATGGAAAAATCAAGAAAATTAGCAAATTATTTTGAATTGAGAATTCTTTAAAAAACTTTTCTTTTTAAATCTAAGATTTGAAAATGTAACACACGGTTAATCATTATTCATTAGTTTGTCTACCTTTATCAAAAAAAAATGTCAGCAAGCAAATCAAATCAAATTTTTATATTTATTTAATGTTCATATTTTTACAATATTTTATATTCACTCGATTTCTCATGTAGCAATTTTCTTATTTTATTGTAATTATTAAAAAGCGAATGACTGTATAGATACTTGAAAATTTCACTGAATGTTTATACTAGCATTTTCTATATACTATAAGATGTTGAAAATATTTTGACTCTTTTTGAGCTGTTTACGGACATTGTCAGTTTCAATTTTTTTAGATTTTTTTTCTATAAATATCAACAAAATTGTATTTATTGGGTAGAAAAGCGTGAAAATGTATTGCAAGGCTACTGATATATTGTTACAATAGCAGTTGAAAAATATTAAAAATACATAGTCACAATATTTTTTACATGACATAGGTAGCGGGCTACTTAGGAAGTTTGTTATACTTATTTGATTTAAGTGACTTGGTTCAGGAGGTTTATGGTGATGAGGAGTAAATATTTCGGATAGGTGTTTCCTGGAAGTGTTGGCTTTGTCCGAAAAGGCTAAGGTACCGTCTGCTTTTTTTAAATGGAAAGGTTGATCTTTTATTTTTAGAATGTTTTTGGTGGTTCTCCATAAGGACCCATATTTAGAACATATATAGAAACTAAGAGACTCGTATTTGTTTTTGAATAATTTACACCCGAGTGACTTTAGAAGTTTTCGATTGGGGGTGGGGGGGGGGTTGCGTTATTGCCGGTAGAGGAGGACAGTAAACTGAGGATACTGCAGTGGCGTCCGCAGGCTCTTTCAATGGGGGGGAGGGGTTGAAAATTAGTTAAATTTTATTTTTATTTTGTCCAGTCTATTAATTTCAGACGTTTATTTGAGGTATTTTAAAATGTTTGTAAGTTTTCAACTGTTCTGGTAGAAAAAATGCTCTGATCATAAGCTTCGATGCCCAGTGTATGTTTTTTTAAGCAAATTGGATCTAGTTGGTACTTTTAGGAGGTCGAAATTGAAAATGCTCAGTGCTTTTAAAAATAATTGGAGGAAAAAAATGAAAATTTATTTAAATTGTTTGGTAACAAGCTTGGTTATACCGTCTTCACTTGGATTGTATTTGAATTATTATTTTTTTTTTCTATAAATGTCAATAAAAAATTATTTATCCGGTCAAAAAGCTTAAAAATGTAATACGTAAGTTTTTTTATTATAACTAAAATATTAACGATACATAGGCAACATATGGTTATTTTTTATATACATTTTAATTTAAAATTTCTTCAAAACCACAGTTAATTTGTAGTTCAAAACTTATAAAATATAAAATATGTATAGCTAAGGCTAGACAATTTAATACAAGGTCTTTCATACAAGTAGTTCATACTTTTACCGACAAATTACAGATAATTT